AATGCCTTTGAAACATTAATGATCAAAAGGATGAAGAGAGGCAGTGTATGAAATACAATGACTAAGACGTTCATAATAAAATATTTGTAGTAAGCAGAAGTTTATGAAAATCAATTGGTTTTAGAAAATATTTTCGGTTTCATAGCGGCTCGGAAAAGTCCGACTGGGCAATACTTCGCCAACGAAGTTACACAAACAGAAGTGCACGTCAATCTTAGCTCATGCTACATATACGCGTTCGCGGAACGAATCTTCGAACTATACATGCAAACTACATAGCTAAATTTAGCAAAAGTGTGTAGTCACAGTCTGTAGTTGATGTGGCAAAAAAGTTAAGACGTTTTACCGCGGGAGCTTATAATATTTCCATGGTGGTTTCAGTAACATTGGCCGTTTATTTCTATGATTTGAATGTAGATGTTATAGAGAAGTCATTAGGATGTTGGATGTTATGTTGGCGGCGCCATACGCAATGACCAAGTTTTGTTGAAACAGTGGAATGAATTTCTCCACGTGCACTTGCTTATGTGCTTTGCCAAGATTTTTTTTTTTTTTTTTTTTATAGACTGCTTTTGTAGTTGAGAAAATGTGCTGGGATAGTCAAAATAACGAGATCTTGAGCGTCTGGTTTTAATTTAATTAATGCTACACTATTAACGCGCAATCGATTTGACTTTGACTATTCTCATGGTTAATCTTCGTATAACCATGTTCGGGCAAAAATAAAAATTCAGTTTCGAGTGTAGCCAATTCTTTTTAACAATATAATACAGTAGAGGAGTCTGAGATACTTGCTTTCCAAGATCGGTCGCCCATCAATCATTCCAAAGTAATTATTTATCCTCATCATTTTCGCATATTTATCGAACAAAATCGCATCTACCTCGACTCAACCCATAAAACATCCGTCTTAAAGTCTCCGTATCCTAAAAACTACTAGCTGACAGATGAATTTCCTTCATTAGTGCTTTTTTTTCTCGGTGATCTGGGTAGAAGCGCCGAGTGGCCGATAGTTTCTCTGGGCCTACGGGAAGAAAAGAGCCACGGAGGCTCGAACACTATAAATATACGCGTGCATGGACGATGATGCGTATGCAAGCGGAAGTACATACGAGTGTACAGAGAGAAAGAGGGAACGAAACGCTACTCAACGAGTCTATAGATAAACCGACTATAGTGGCGGGACGTCGAGGCGAAATTTATGCTTTGCTCTGACGGCTGCACCTACGCTTCGACAGTTCGAACGTACAGGCGTAGGGAAAATGTAAGGAAGTGACGGAGCTTCTCCTGTGATTTGCGTGATCTTGTTCGATTACGATAGGAATTGCGAATGGCCGAACATGAAAAATCGTTGCACGCCCGAACAATTGATGTTTGAAATTGACAGCATGTAGAACAACGCGATTATGTCAGCTTTCGAGCTTTTATTTGTAGCTGAAGCATTTATCGTGTAATTTAGAGTTTTTTGTTTTATTTTTTGTTTTGGTTTTTTTTTTTTTTACAAAAGTTGAGACTAAAAATCAAATTCATAAATGTTCAAAACAAAATAAACATACAAACGAGAGAAACAAATTAATAATCGACTAACGATTACTCAAACATTACGTCAACAGATAAAATATTGAACATTTACATTATATAAATCAATTGGGTCAACTAACGAAAGTTAGTAAAAATGTTTCGTAAAAGAATCATTCGTACAATTATTTGGAAATATTTCAAATGTAAACATTAATGTATTTTCTTCATCACAGTATCTGTAGAAACTAATCACTTTCATAAATGACAAATAAAATATATCCTTCCAATAATTTATAATGAAAACATATATAACAAGAGAGCTTGTTTGCATACAGACAAAATGGTTAATGGAAATTGGAAAAAGTAGGAAGATTAGCAAGTAAATTATTTAATGTTAAATTAAAGATTAAAATATCAGTGGCTGACATAGTGGATAATCAAGAAGAAATATATCCAGGCCATAAAAATATATACATTGTTAATGTAAATGATATAATGTACTTTTAGGCATATAATTCAGTGTTATATATATATATATATATATATATTAAAAATACTTCGGATAAATAATTTAAGCACTTATATGATTAACAACAAAACTTATTATATTTTCCAATAAATAAAAATGCTAGATAATTAATTATGAATATGTAAACTATTAGCAGTGTGATATAGAAAAATTGGTATAGAATATAAGTGCAGCAAATAATATTTTCGATTATAAACCCAGAAATTCTTCATTAAATGATTTAAGAAATTATCCAGATTAAGAAATTGACATCTAACGTTAACTTCATAATAATCATAGCCATACAGATTTATAAATACTTCTGCATTCATATCATTAGATACAAAAAAGTGTATATATTTTTAAAAATTTTATAAAAAATAATTGCTTCACAAATTAAATAAATATTAATAGTAAGCTAAATGATATTTATATCAAGGATTTTATAAATCTTGTAAATACAATTGTTAATTGTTTGCATAATTTTATTATGCTATAATATTATTATTTGTTTAAAGCACATTTTGTAATTATTCATCGAGGAACTTCAATCGTCAAGTGACGTCAAGTGTATCCGAGACCCTAATTTCATAATCGATTTTTATTCTCAATATCAAATAAATTTAATCATGTGAAACGCGCAAGTTTATTATTATGACACAGGAACCTTATGGCACCTGCAATTATACATCCCACTCACACTTATTAAACGCATGGTAAATTTTATTGTAATATCACCGGAATATATTCTTCAATGACAAAACAGCCTATATTTTATGCTCGCAAACGATAGTTTAAACAGTGAATTTCTGGAATATTCTTATGAATAATTCCCTCAGTAATAAATATTTTATTAATGTATATTTTTTTAACCATACATACTATTAAAATTATCAAAGAAATATATTATCATTTTGTTGTCGTAGTTTTTACGATAACGCGAGAGAAAAAAAATGATATTATAATGTTGAGTATAAGTAGGTCGGTTCATTATTTCATCGTCGAATTTCGAATAAATTGAAAATTAAATACAATGTCTTTATTGTGTAGAAAGAAAGTTGAATTACAAAAGATATTTTTAGCATTGCATTTATTTGGTAAAAATTCATATTGATGTCGATAGTTGAAAAGAATAAAAATGTAAAACGCGTATTCTCAATATGACAATGTTTGATTTGTCAAAATAATGATAGTAAAATTATTGAGGAAATAAATTATTTAATGCTAGAATCCAAGATAATTTGCGTATTGATGATGACATCTTGTGTATTGATAATTGAATTTTTATGATTAAACTTGTCAACAACTGAGAAATATTTTACTTATATTCTACTTTGTAACGCAATCGTACTTTGTCATTTTATCGGTTTAGTCACATAATTTTATATGACGAACAATTTATCCATTATTAAAATATCTGGCTAACTATTTCTGAAAAAAAAAAAAAATATATTTATCACTCTGACTAATGCAATATTATATTTTTAATTTGTTTCCTAATTTATTTTAATTTACTTCACTTTAATTTTTACTTTAATTTATTTCACCAACCCTCGCGATATTCCATATATAATGATTTTAGTATTGTGCAAGTTAGTAGCTTAGTAAGGACAACATTTACAGAATTTCTTTTCAAATTGCCAGATTTTTTAATAAACACTTTTAACATTTTTATTATCACTTCGCTACATAAACAGAATTGAGAGATAATTTAAAACAAATTTCTCTCTATTTTTCTCTTGATACTTTGTTTACATTTCGCGTCCTTACTAAAGAAAGTTGTTTAATATAGAGATTTTTTTTTTCTTTTTTCTTTTTATTTTTTTTTTCTTTCTTTTTTTTCATATTGCTTATAATAACATCCATTGTTTACAATTAAAATTAGTATTTTTCTGTGATTATTCTTATCGGTTGGAAATATTACATTACGAAATATTAAATATAATATTTATTACAATCGAAAGTCTTCCTTTATTATAAATGTTTTTATTTATTCTTTTTTATCTTTTTTTTTTGTTTTTTTTTTTTAAATTTTTAATAATATTTCACCAATGACGAGCGAATTTTATCTAATAATATTGTCAAACATAAATTGATTAGCTAATTGCATTAATTAATATTATCATAAAAGTGATTTATTAAAATTTATTTACCAGTTATGCATTGCTAAATAATGTGTTTAACATCATATAGCCGAGGATAAAATTATTGTGATTAAATTTATCGCTATACCAAGTACCTTACCTTTTTCATTCATATTAATTCTTCGTATGTAAATGATAGTAATAGCTAAGAAATGAAACAAAGTACTTAGCAACGCGGGCAGTGATTTTATATTTTTTTATCTCGTTATGTATAAAGGAAATAGAAAATTTTCTAGCACTTGCATTCAAGGAAAATCGACGAAATTCTACATAAGTATATTTGGCGCGCAACCAGTAGAGTTATTAATAACCTATTTAACGCAATACGTATAATATTGTAAATTTTACGAAAAATAAAATACGTCGATGACTCGAAGGTAGGCCTTAAAAGATTATTAGATTTAGAGAAAAATTCAAACATAGGCTTTAGCGATGAAAGTGTAGTAAAATTTATGAAAAATTTTGTGAAAAATTTTGTGAAAAATTTTGCCTTCTACGAAAAAGACAGGCAAACGGGAGATATAGAAGATACGAGATATTAAAGCCCAACAGTAATGAATAAGCGTTTGGAAAAGGCTTGCATTCAAAAACTGTTCGCGTTGTCGCTACGCGTGCAAAAAATGCCGATCGTCACCACGGCAGCCAACTGACCTTTGTTCAAACATCACCGCCATGTTCGAGCAAACAATTCTGTGGGACGCATCGCCGAGCTAACAGTCTCACCTTTCGTCTTTTCTTTTTTCGGTCTCACTTTTAAACCATCTAAGATTAAAAAGTTGGCAAAAAAAAACGACAAAATTTTTACAATAAGACAAAGGGGCAAGCGGTCGTCCAGGATAGGAGTAACTGGAGTCTGACAGGGCCAGGAGTATTGGAAGGCTGGATCGTCGCCAATTGAGGAGACTCCCATGCTGTAAGCGAGCGAGAGAGGAGTGACGGACGTGCAGTACAAATAAAACTTAAGGAACGACGAAGAACAAGGATGTCCAGAAGGTTGCCGAAGTTCGAGGCTCTCGTGGTTAACGCGATCAGGCGACTTCAGACCTCCCAGGGATCTACCGCCTCTGAGATCGCCAATTACCTTCACCAGGAATATGACGTCAGTGGGCCCGAGATACGACGACAGATTCAGCAAACTATAAGGCGCGGCGTCAACTTCGGCATTCTCGAAAAATCGAAAAGGTACTTTAGTTGGTCGGTCGGGAGCTTGGACTACGCTTAAATCACGCCTTCCTTATTTAAAAGTCTTCAAGGACGATTTTTGTATTGCCTCGTAGTTTTTATCCATAAATTGTAATGAAATTTCATCAAACTATCGCGAAGTCTCTCATGCAGTAAATTTGCTAAGTATAAAATTCTTCCCATCACTGCAATTTCATAGTATAAGAAAATTTATCATATAATTGCCATTACAATTATTTTTATAATTAAATTTCTAATTAAATTCAATATTACAATGGTGATTTCGTAGACAGTGAGAGAGAGGGAGAGAGAGAGAGAAAGAGAGAGAGAGAGAGAGAGAGAGAGAGAAATCATAATTTTCTTAATCGAATATAACCTTTTTTTTCACTTTTCCAAATAAGAAACAATTACAAATTTTTTAATTAAAGTTTCCCTTTAATTGTGTCTACGGATATAGTTTTTATGGTATTTCTTACTAATATTTTCACAGATAATACTTTAAAAGAATCTATAAATATCTATAAAATTTAAAAAATTTATAATTATCTTATTAAAGTAATTTCTACATAGCCCAATGAAATATAAAGACTATGCAGTAAAAGTGTAAAATCTCTTAGCAACGTAACTACATCAATGACTATATGCAGTGAATACCGAAAGATATCAAATAAAAATTTATGCATAAATGTATTTTAAATGAAATTATGAAATATCCATAATACGAATAAACAAATTATATTTAATTAGCGTTTATCGCTATTAGAGGTAAAAAAAAAGTACATATGCCCCTGTAGTTAGTTAATTATTTTAATGCAAAAGATAAGCTTGTTACTGTGTCATAATAACATATTTTTGTTTGTATTTTATTTTGATTATTTTAATAGCAGTAATATTATTAATTATATTTAGTTTTGGATATTCAAAAAATAATAATAAAAATTAAAAAAAAAAAAAAACATAAAGATTATTTACTCGAATAAATGTACAATATTTATAATGATTATGATATTTTATAATTGAAAAATAATAGCTTAAACGCGCGTTATTCGTTCAATTAAATGCTTATTTAATATATATATATTATGATTGTAGGTAGTTGTAAAAAACACAATAACTATATATATATACGTATGCGTGTATGTATGTATGCATGTGTATATATATATATATATATATATATATAGAGTATAATGAAGGGAATTGAAATGAAACGTAGCAATGAAAAGCGGTAAGTTGTTATTATACATCTAAATGCTCTATCCAATTAGAAAATTAAGCGCGGAATTAAGTGCGCTCGTGTAGGTAATATAATATAATAATTAATATAATTAATAATTAATATACGTGGTATATTACGTATTAATATACGTAATATACAGGGAAATTTTAATCCAAGGACTAAGAAATAAGCAAATACTTAGCAATATTATGTCCTGAGCTGAACGTAAACGCAATGAAAAGTGAAAAATCCGGTGACGCTCTCGTGAAAACAGCTACGCAACAACCCAATAACCCCTTTAACAAAGCGTCCCCGACTAAGGCTAGACGCGAGGCTTACGAAAGCATTGGGTCGCGGGCGCCTATATAGCTATAAGAACCTCACCATCGAGGATCATCACAATCACTTAATAACGTCGCGGCTGCCACAGGGGCTACACTACCTGCGACCACAATATCACGGAGCAGCAGGAAAGCCAGGACTTGAACGACTGCTACAACTGTAGACGAAACGCGAGACGGAGACAGACGAGAAAGCAGGGCTACCCGCGCTCGAAACGAAGCCAAAGTCGTAGGCGCAGCCACGCCAGACGCTCGAAAAAATTGCGCAGGAAACGGAAGGCCTCTATGTCCCCGAGGAAGCAGTACAGCACCTCCAACAGCGTCAAGTAAATACGCCAATACCCCATTAGCCCTCGGCCCATCCGGGTGCGTCATTAGGCTAATTCTTCTTATTCCACGAAATAACCGGTAAACTGTACTTGCCCTCTCGTTTTTCGTGCGCGACCGACGACGATTTAGTGGATCCACTTGCTTAGGGTGTGTGAGTAGACAGCCGACGCAATTTCTAACCTCGCTCCTTTTGTTTTTATACCATTGGGCCTTATTGCTGTTTGGTGGTTGGAGGGTGGGAGGGGGGGGGGGGGTCCTTTAACTATCACCTGATGTTCGTGTTCAAGTTATTGATATTGGTTGAAAACTGCAGCACCACTCGAGGTGTCGCGAAAAGTACTCTGATTTTGATATTTCACATCGTTTTTTTTTGTTTTCTTTTGTTTTGTTTTTTGTTGATTTCAAATGAAATTAATTCATTAATTGCGTAGCTTTAAAATCCTTTACATCTTGCATTATATATACTCAAAAGCAGGTCAAACTTTAATCGAAAATTTTGCCAATTTTAATTTTATTAGTTGTAAGGTTTAGAGAAATTCTTTAAATTTTATCAACTAATTATAATCCGTCGATATTGGCTTGGGACACGACCAACTATTGAATTGACGTTCATTTATTAATTTCTCAACGCTTCAAAGTTCTAATCCACAAGACGAACTAGCTACTTCTTTTCTTCTTTTTTAACTCTACGTGAATTTTTTACGCCCTGACATGCAACACACATACACACACACACACACACATGCAAAAAAAACACACACACACACACGCACACACACATACATTACATTTGAATTTTGCAAATGCAATTTTATAACAAGTTAAAATACCAGGCTCGTGTGGATCATTAATTTAAATAATATTATCGACGATTTTTCGGAGAAAAATATATTTCAACATTTTTCTATTACTAAATTATATTAATTATACTACATTGTATAATTAAAGAAACAAGCAAATAAAAAATAGTTAACAAAAAAAAAAAAAAAAAAACAATTAGATCTTTGATATTTTACAATAGTTTATTTAGAGTTAAAGTAAAATTTACAATAATTAAGAGTCTATGCATCTTCGTAAGCATTGAGTATTCGAAAAAAGAATTAATAGTCATTTGTACTGTGTTAATTGTGCAATAATTTTGAAAGAGTTGGATTTTAAGTCAGCTTTTGATGAGACGAATAGGAAACAATGATCATGCTCTTTGATAATTTTGAAGAAGACTCGAGATTGTGGATTAAAAAAAGAAAAAACAAAAGAAAATTAAAAAAAAGTAAAGAAAAAAGAGAAAGAGTAGATATTTTAAAATGGCACGGAAAAAAAATGAAGCTTTGTTTTCTTTTTAATCTTAGTAGATTCAGCACACATATATTAGCGAGAATGTAATCTTTTTAATTATGTCGAATAAAACATAAGTGATTAATACGTTATCAAAATAACAAAAACGAAACTATAATTTAATACAATAATATGATGCGCAGAAGTACCGAATCGTAGAATTTCAGTTATAATATTAACGTAATAGGAATTTAATTTTAATGCGTATCATAATTGTTGTAGGAAGATTGATTTTTTAATTTAAATGCATATGTTCTTGTATTTAATATTTATTTAGTAGATACAGAGTACGTAAAAACTGATTGAATTCATGTGCATTATATAAAATGAATAATCAATATTGAAAAAGAAAGTAGGATAATAATAAAGAACTTTTAGATCTGTGTGCATGTTGTCGGATAATTGAAAATTCTCATAAAACAAATTAAACATTTTATTATTTGACTAATAAAATATTAATTCGACGATTTATTTAGCTAGTTTGTAACATTATTTTTACAGTAGAAAAATTAAGATATACATGTTTTTTTAATGAATTATTATCAATTATCTAATTGTGGATATAATATTTTTCTTCCTCTAATTTTACCAATGAAAGCCACATGTACGCCACTGTTTCTCATACTTTAGCTGATGTGTGCAATTAATTTTGCACAATATTCACCAAACATTCTTTCCTTAATTTAACATCACTTAAGCTTGGTATAAGACACGTTTATCCTTTAATTTTCCTTTTAAAATTTCAACTTTTCACCAATCACAAGTGTTCATTGTTCAATCATTATTGGTATTCGGACACTTTCTACACAACTAATAATCAATAAATATGCGTATACGCATTAAAGTAATCGCGTGTATAATTCGTAAGAGGAGCAACGTAAGAAATCCCTAGAGCTTTTATCATAAGCAATTTAATCGACTATGAAAATCGACTCCAGGGCTCGGCGTCAGCAATAATAAAAAAGAAGTGGTAGAGGGGGCGACTGTGAAGTAGAGCAAACGAGTGAGGGAGAAAGTCGCGCACGTACGTGAAGGGTGAGGCAGCCGCTCGACTCTAGCATTAACCCACGCGATGTTGCGATTTACAGGTCGAAGAAGATGTCGGACCAGGATGATGGGCCGCACAGAAGGCAGCCGACCAACAATTCGAATCAGAGCTCCTCGAACTCCAAGAGCCAGATTTACAACAGCGACGACAAGCGTGAGACATGATGCGTCCCGCCGATTAATCGCATTCTCCACACCCAGCAGCTAAATCAGCCAGCTCTGTCGTATCCCACACCCATACTGTTTTTTGTAAATGTTTACAATCGTTTGGTCAACTTTTGAATTTTTACCTTCGTCATTTTCGATATTATTGTTTATCGCGTAGTACACACCTTTTTCTACGCTCTTTACTCTCAAGAAAAGTAAATTGTTTGCACTTGTATACGAGGGCTTGCCCGTTGTTTTTCTCCCATCCTTATACAATTAATTTACAATCGACATTCCTCTGTATTTTTATTTTGTTTTCTTTTTCATGTTTTGTTTTTTTTTTTTTTTGTTTTGTTTTTCTTTTTGTTTTGTTTTTGTTTTTTGAGGAGCCTTAAAACGAAGCACGCGAAGAGTCGCTTCGTCGTTGTCGAGTTAATGCTCGGCGCTCGTTTAATTCCGCGCATAGTCCTGGTCTCGCATTTGGACAATATTTGGTCGCAAAATGATTGAAATCATTGTAACAATCATTTAGTGTAACACATTTAGTGCATTTTACGAACTATCTATACATTTAATCATTGCTTTAATAATTGCACGCTTCTGAAGGATTCTCTTGAACTCGGACGAGTTTAATCATTTCACATGCATATCTTATATAAGATATTATTATTATTTAATATAAAAAAATAGATAGTCTCTAGAAAGAGTCTGATGCAAATTTATTACTATATACTCCACGCGATGATAAATTTGCATGCCAATTTTGTGCGCGCGTCACTTAGAAATAGTGGTATATTATTATTAGCATCATTATTATTATCGTCATTATCATTATCATTATCATTATCATTATCATTATCATTATCATTATCATTATCATTATTATTATTATTATTATTATTATTATTATTATTTCGTAATGATATATATTATTATTATTGTGCTTGCGATCAAAAGCATTGGGTTTACGGACTAAACTCGAAAGCCGGGAGTAAATGTAATTTTTTAAGAATCGCACCTTCTTCAGTGCACGTAATAACATTTAGCGTCTACAACGACGGAGAAAAGGCTAAATTCTCTGCAAGTATTGGAGAATCAAGTGCTAAAGTATCGCTAACCCCCGTTGTTAATTACCACTAATAATAAACTCGGTAAAATGTCGGCCACGAATGGCAATAAGACTCCGTCCCTCTCGCCAGGCGAATTAGATGAACAAGATAAAAAAAAAAAAAACTAAGACTACGAGAACGTTAATTGAAACGCGTCCTTAACGCGAGCATATAAACGAAACAACCTTCCTCTCTTGCGATCAATGGATTTTAATGTAGAGGTAAGTTAGAAAAAAGTCGCTTCGTGCATCGCACGGAGTGGAAAAAGAAGATTGAAGTAAGTCGAAAAATCTTGTGTGACGAGTTGGAACTTCAATTCCACTCTGTCTTTCACAATATTCTTTTATCTCTACCCTGTCTCTCTCTCTCTCTCTCTCTCTCTCACACACACACACACACACACACACACACACACACACAAACACACACACACCATAT